GGGAGGGGTGGCAGATTAAAAAATAAATAAATTGTCAACTTTGAGAAAAATTAAGCCAAATGGTAGTTGTCAAGTTGCAGGGAGCACAAGGTGGGGGCACATTTTAGCAACAGAAAAATCAATGAAAGTCTTTGGACTTCTAGAGAGCAAAGGAGAGAAGAACACTCAAAAATAGATGTTCTGCATCAAAATATATAATGCATAATGCAAGGGAAGCAACTCAGGAAGCCTCTGAAATAACCAAACTGCAGATCCCCACAGGTCAGACTGATGCCAACCCAGACACATTATGTGAACACTTAAAAGGGTCATTGAAGAAAACATGAAACTCACATCCCGGCCTCAAAATTCTAGTTCACTCTTCCTGGGAAATAAGAACTGAGAGGGACTTCCTGGTAACTCAGAGATCAGGACCTATGGGTGTTTTCTTAAGAGAAAAAGGCAGATGAAAGCTGACATGTTCCTTCCTGCTCTTTAAACCTTCATTGTGCCTTTGCTGTTCACCTTGAAGCTTCTTACGCAAGTGATTATTTGGTTTTAAATTCTTCTGGAATAGAGCCTGATTCACATTCATATTTTCCCTTGCTTCTCCCTTGCCTGAGAGAGTGCCTAGCACAGTGCAGGTGGGTCTCTTGGCACAGTGCATGGATAGATGGATGCATGGATGGATGAATGGATGGATGGATGGATGGATGGATGGATACATGGATACATGGATACATGAATGAGTAGATAGATGGATGATTGATGGATGGATGGGTAGATGAATGGAGGGCTCAATGAATTACTGTGGGATGTGTTTTATTTCAAAGACATAGGTAAATGGAAGAGGAATGGGATGGATGGATAGTTGAATAGATGAAGGGAGGAATTGATGAAGTATATGTTGTGTCCACTGGAGTTATGCTTTGCTTAAAAGGAATAAAGGTAAATGGAAGAGGAACTGGATGGATGGATAGGTAGATAGATGGATGGATGGAGGAATCAATAAAATATACGGTGTGCACCTGGGGTTTCACTATTACTTCAAAGACATACGTAAATGGAAGAGGAAAGTTACCCACTATTCATCTTTATGCTGGTTCTGTTTTCTGATGTTCTTGCTTTAGGACAAAGTTTCTCAGCAGGGCTCTCAAAGTCAGAAGCACCTGGGCACTCATCAGGATCTCTAGGTATTAGAACCGGGATCATAGAGTGAAACCTTGGTTCTCAAACTTAATTTGTTCCAGAAGGCTGTTCAAGAAGTGATTTGTTCAAAAACCGAATAATTTTTTCACATGTGGAAAATGAGCTTTCCAGGCCAGAGAACTAAGGAAAAAGCAGAGGTTCAGCTGGAATGAAGCAAAGCTAAGAACCAGACCTTAGTGCAACCCAGAGGAAAGTGTAGGCAGTTCTGTCATGCAGTTGAGAGATGAGAAACTCAGCGTGGTCTTGAATGTCATGGGAAGTGGGCACTTCTTACTCTTTGAAAATCTTCATGCCACAGAGACAACACCCCTTTTTAAAAATCCTCATCCAAGGATGTGTTTTCATTGATTTTAGAGAGAGAGAAAAGCGGAGAGAGAGAAACATCGATGAGAGAGCGAAACATCGATCGGCTGCCTTCCATACGCACCCCAACCGGGGATCAAACCCACAACCTGGGTATGTGCCCTGGCTGGGAATCGAACCCGAGACCCTTTGGTGTACAGGACGACACTCCAGCCAACTGAGCCACACCATCCAGGGCACCACATCCCTATAGTGAACGTGTATAAGACAGACCCGAAGAATGCTGGCTGTCAAATTGGAAACAACTGTTTGGTGCAGTCAGAAAAACATTTGCCTAAGGATGCTTTGAGAGTGATGTTAATGGCTTGAAAGTAATCAGAAGTAGGTGGTTAATGAGCTTTGACAGTTATAACATGATCTGCTGGTTTTCCAAATGCAATTCAAAATCCCATGTGACTTCTTGGTTTTGCAGAATGTTTGATACTGTGTTTGTGTAGGAATAAAAGAGAATAATTGGTGTGAGTGTCTGTACATGAATGTAGTAGGAAAAGACACAAAAGAGAATTGAAAGTTTAATAAAGAGCGATCAAAGTGGGAAAGAGCCTTAAAAAGACTGCGCTCAGAGTAAAACCTGACTCCTCAGTGAGCTCACTAGCTCCTGCTTCCATCCCCCGGTCGTGTGCTTTGGGAGCACGGAGCTGCTTTGATCTTAACTCAGGAGTCCTCGTGCCTGCTGTCTGCACATGCCCTCCCCTCTGCCTGGAATGCCCTTTCTCCTAGGCTCCCTTCTTTCAGGTTTCATCGGAGACATTTCCTTCCGAAACCCTCCCAAGGTTTCCAGCCTCCGCCCCCGAGTTCTGGCTGAGGTGCGCTCTTCTGTCTTGGTAATATTTTCCCCCGTCATAGCTCTGCATTGATGGTACCATCAAGTTTAATTGCTTTCTCCTAGACCGTAGGTTCCTTGAAAGACTGTGTCTGTATCGTCATCTTTGAATCCCATTATTGGTGCTCGATAATGACCTGTTAAATGAGAAAATAAATGAACAGATAAAAATGAAAATGGGGGAATCATACGAGTCCCGAATAAAAATGATGTGAAGTTAACTCACTGCACACTTATCTCAGACCAGATGGAAGACATTTCCTCCTCAAATGTGACCCACGCCCGTTGTCCCCTAGCCAGGAAACAGTACTGATATTTGTCCAGTTGCTGAAACCAGAGCCTGAAAGCTATTTTGGATACCTCCCTCACCTCTGCCTCCCGTGTCCTACATGTCTCCAAGGGCTCATGGTTCGACATCCTAAGTGCCTCTTTAATCCAGCAACTTCTCTCTGTTCTTACCACCGTTATCTCATTTGTAAAACCTAGAAATAATATAACGTCCCCCTGGTTCTCTCCTTGCCCACCTCCATGCCATTCTCGCAAGTGCATGCAGAGTGATGTTTTCAAAATACACGCCTAATCATGTCACGTCACCCTGTTTAAAAACCTTAGAATAAATAGCGAACTGCCAGCTGCTAACTCCTTTCCAGCTTCATCTGCCTTCACTGCCCCCACCTCTCACTCCTGTGGTTCAGACAGATACAGCCTCTCTCTCCCTCTCTCTCAGCTCTTTGGGTGCTCTCTGCATCAGGGCATTTGCACGTGCTGATTTTTACCCCTGGAATTTTTGTCTCATTTCCTCCCATTACCTAGTTTACTTTCACTCATCCTTCAAAACTCAGCTCCAAAGACTTCCCAGGGAAGCCCTCTCCCGTCTTCCCAAAGACAAGGTCTCCTTGCTGAAGACTCTTTTAGCTGCATGTTTCTTACGTAACATTTTTCACATTTGATATTTTATAATTATTTGGGTATTATTGGAGAGTTATTAGCCTAACTCTCCAGCTAA